TCAACCTTGACATTTATGCTTCACAGAGCTCCTCTGTGAATACATGCACAGTAGTAATAGGGACTATGGCCCAGAGGTTCTTTGTGAGTGACATGTAATTTTACGTTGCTGACCATAACTGCAATTACAGAGTGGAGTTTAATTTGTCAGCTGTCATAGTACTTTCATTCATTAAGCTCAGGGTGTCTTTTCTTTGTATTTTGTCCAAATTGAGGTGAAGAGGGGAACAGACACAAAACAAAGAGCCAAGACAATGACCAGCGCTGGCAGTGTCAGCAGAGTTCAAGCACCCTGAATCTGCAGAGTGGCGCATGATTAAACCACCCAGGATTAGAGACTACCTGCTCAACACAACTCCCTCCACACACTGTGTGGAAGCCACTGAGGAGATGCAAATGACAGTGCATGGGAGGGACAGTTCCTGAGAATATAAAGTCCCAGGGACTTCCTGGTGAGAACGCACCTCAAGACTTCCTTTTCACTGGAAAAGAGATTCTGATATTTCAATTCTCCTCATGTTTTGTTTTAGAAAATATAAACTATGATGACACTGTGGTTAGTGTGTTTATTTAAAAAAAATGTTTCAAAACAGTATAAAACATTTTTGATCATATTTGTGGAACTGTGTCTGTCAGTAGAACAGGAAACAACAAAACTTTCCAGGCTCTTAGTATTTGGAGCATTTACCTACAGCGGCTATAATTCACATTTTTATAACAACATCATAAGTAATGACAATGTGAAAATGTGACCTATGTGTATGGCCCGACTCTGCAGCTCCTCATCAGCAGAACTTTATGACGACTTTCGGCTTATTTTTTAGCTGTCCATCTGAAACTTCACTGCTCTGATTCACTCTCACTACTCTCGTCATTTTGCATCAAGCTGTTTTCAACCAATAAGTACATAACAGGATATATGTATGCTGATTGCTAGAAAAAAAGGAATTTTACTTTCAGATTGACTTTAAGTATTAATACTGAAGTTAAGAAATGTTTAAGTTCATTTCACATATGTTTATTCATCTTGTTCCTGATGTACACTGAATTTGGATGGATTTTTCATTCAGTAAAACTGAACTTCTTCCACAAAGCAACATTAAAAAGTATCAAGACTTCAAGTAATAGTATTTTTGTATGATGGTATCAGCTAAAATGTTGGTAACTGATCCATCTATTCTAGGATTAAAAATGAATTTAAGAGCTCATGTGCAGCCAGAGTGAAAACTATAAAACAATGGATTCCCAAAGGTCACACCTGAAGTTGGCACTTAAGAGCAGAAACCGATGAAGGGAGAGAATGGTACAAAGGGAAAAGTGAGCACAGATCTGAAAAGATTTATTCAACACCATGCTGGTGCCCTGCACTTTCTCTAATACTGTAGCGGGGCACTTTTTTCTTATCAGCCTGACTTCTGCTGTACCGCATCCACATGGGACACAGGGGACTCACACAAGTGCCATTTATCCCTGCAACTCTTTAAGAACTGGGACACTCACTGTATCCCCACACCTCTTGACACACACAGGTGAGTGTGTGTGCAGGCACTAATTAATTAGAAACCTTCCTTGTTCATGTGTTTGTGTAATTTCTGCTTGTGTGCACCGGCGTGAACCCGTCACAACGAGCCACTTCTTTGGCCTCGTTCTGCCACATGTAGTTAGGAACAACAGCAGCGTCATCATCTTTTGATGAGACATGATGGAGAGCTCCTCCTGAACAATTAAGATGGAGGACAGCAGCAGCCTTCCCCTGCTCAAGCAGTTCTTCACACATGAAATAGCTCTAATTAAAACACAAGCTAACAAAGGGGGGGACCAGCACATGAGATCTCCCTCTGCAGGCCTCTCTCACCAATTAGAGAAAGGAAGTGAATAGCAGAATGCAAGTTAAACTACTCTCAGTGACATGAACCATACTAGGGCAGGTTGGGAGGTTAAGAAATGCATCCTCTCATGCACCTGCACACATTAGGTGAATCTCAATTCTCTTATTTTATCATTCCTCTGTCCTGGACCCTCACTTGACTTGGACATTGTTCCAGTCCGCCATAATGAAGGGTGTCTCAAAGCTCTTATTTCTGCTCTGAGGAGCATAAATTAATAATTAAATTTAAAAAATGTTTGTACAATTATGTACAAAATGCCTAAATCACATATTGAAATCAGTGCTTCCTCTGCAGTTGCTCAAACTCAAGCGTCAACATTTCTTTGGCGTTACAACAATGTAAGCTGTCACCGTTTCCTTGGAGACAGCTGCATGTCTAGGTTTAGCAGGTAAACAAGCTTGAGTAATGGTGGCCACAGCAGCTAAAAGTGACAAAATAACTCCAAAGAAATGCAGTCATGTTACCTCTGTGAAATGGTTCAGTTTTGCAAAGTGTAACATGCAAGTGACCGTCATGCTTAGTAAAGGTCAGGAGGTTACAAAGTAGCCATTGTGACTGTTATAAATCACAGAGGGATTTCACACAAAACTCAGTAGAGGATAGAAAAGGCACAAACAGCTGTAGAAAAGGTACAAAAACTGTTGTATTCCTTGTTGGAGTATTATGGGAATATTATACAATGAACAATAAAAACTATGAAGTAACAACAACGTCATTAAACACACTAATGGCCTCACACAGTGGCGGACCGTTGGTTCAGTGGTTATTTCACAGTCTTGCTGAACCTGACCCTGTCAACTGGATTCTTCCTCTGTGGTATCATCTCGCTGCAAGCAGTATATAGTTTTGATAAAGAGTACTGAGTTCTAAACAGGTTTTGTCTCAATTTCATTTAAACAGAAAAAAAAACTATTCAATTAATGAATCTTCCATAGCACTGAAAAAAAAAAGGAATAAAGATAAAATTTTTTGACCATGATCACCTAACTCTACTGTAGCCTGAAGTTAGAATTATAAGGATTTAAATTAGACATTTAGTTGTGGTTAATTAATAATTTAATAATTTTTTATTTATTCATTTTAAAAGCCTGTGAATGTATTGTCCTCATAAAGAAAGACAAATACGCCTGTGTTTGTGTGTTTGGGTTCAAGTAGTGCGACAGTTACATGATGCGAGTGTGTGAGCAAGTACTGGATGTTCCTGTGAAAGCCACTGAGACACACTCACATGCACACACATCACAGCTGAACAAAACACAGTGCTCAAAGCACACAAATGAAATGTAATGCACATTTTGTAATGCAAGCCACTGTAGTTGTTTATATGTTAGCGTGTGTTAGGGATCAAGTGGTGTAATGTGTGTGCACTTTAATTAAGCAACAAGCTCTCATCATTCAACCACAGCTTCCAGCTTCACTGATACAGCAATTTGCTGCTTGTGTCTGTTATATCTTTCTAAATGGAACATCTTTGGCTTTAAACTGCTTGTTAAACATTAACTATCTGAAGATGTCATACTGAACTCTGGGAAACTGCCATTTTTTAGTATTTTCTGACTTTTATAGAGGAAAACTGCTATTTGCACAATCAAAGTATTAATAATATTGTTGAAATGATTAGATGGGTGATCAAAAATAGATCTATTAACCATTGTAGTCATTTAAAAAGCAAAAATGTCAATAAACCTTTGGCTGTAACTTCTCCAAGGGGAGGGTTTGCTGCTTTACTCTGCTCTAATATTTTTGGGTTTTATATTGTTGGTCAGACATGACAAACTATCTGACAATGTCACCAAGAAATATAAGAAAATACTATTTTCACCATCTTCTGACATTTTATAGAGAAACATCTAGAAAATATTAAACAGATTAATTACTTTTCTAACTAATCACAAATGGAGTGTTTATGACATGTATGACCAACTGCATTTTAAGATCTGCCAGTGCTGTTGATGTCAGCATTTGTAAATTACTTAAATCATGTGAACTGAACCGACCTCCCTGAAGAGAAAGGGAAAATGGGAAATTAGTTTTTAAACTTTCTCATCTTTGAACACCTCTCTTTATGGTGTCCCTTTGTTTTGATCTCTTCACATTAATACGCGAACATGCCAAGAAGGATGTTATTTACACAGCTGGCTAGCATACAGCTTAGCCCAGCAATAATAAATGTTGATAGGTTGGATAGCCCTACATACACGGAGATCATCTTCTGTCATCGATCGAAACTGAAACTTGCCGAACGTTTTAACTCCATACCACCATATCACATCACTCACCCAATTTCTGAAGGTATTTTCCGAATCCTCACATACTATTCTAAAGATACGACATTAAAATAATTAGGTTCAGTCCAGTAAAAGTACGAATTTTGTATTTTTTTTCTAGAGAGGGGATTTACTTTGCCGAAATGATGGCGACAGGAAACTACGTCATCTCTCTCGCTTTTTGTGGAAGTAGTACACATGTTTTGTTGAAATCTATACTATTGTTATTGTATTGTTGAATGTATTGAAAAAAATAAGTGAAGTTATTATTTAAATAATATATTGATTAACTCAAGCCGCTTTCACTCAAAGAGTGACGTCATTTCCTGTCACCATCTTTCTTAACTAAAAAGAAACTTTCTGAACCGAGAAACTGATTGAAATTATATTTTTCCTGAACTGAACCGGATTACTTTTTTTATTCCGCATAGATAGAGGATTCTATGAGGATTCGGGAAATACCTTCAGGAATATAATGAGTGTTATGAAACGTTCTGCAAGTTTCAAGTTCGAACGCTCACGGATGATCTCTGTGACTCCGGTGTATGTGATACATGATAGTCTCAAAAGGCGGCGAAAACGTGGACTGAATGCAAAACTCAAACAGGGCCTGGTTTCCTCTCATATCACAAATTCAAACAGTAGGCCAATCCTGCAGCCACCAAAGGAGGGGTAATTACCTCCATGCAGCATCACCACCTGGCTCACATTTCACTCTACATCTGTTAAAACGCACACTGATGTAAAGACAACCACATCGAGAGCTCCGTTTCTGTATGTGTGTGTGTTTCCCCTTTTTTTCTTCTCTTGAATTTGATGCATGTGAGAGTGAAACCTCCACTTACCTTCCACATCCAGGCCATTCTTATTTCTACGCAGACAATGGTGAACCGCTTGTTTTTGTGAGCTCTAAAACACCGTTCAACGCGTCCCGATTCCAAACGCATTTATTCATGTGTGCATAAGACTACACGCAGATGTGGTGCGGGTACACACTAGAATAGGCTCCATAAATATTAGAGAGTACCGTTATTCGTCTCCTATCTCCGCTCCTTTTTCTCTCATGGAGCTGCTGGGACCTAGAATGACTCTGCGCTGCTATTGGCCGGCACAGACGCAGAGCCCCACCCCCTTCTCGAGTCAGGTGATTCAGGATAGCAAGGAAGTCCAGCATAGCAGTATGGAGGGAGCAGGCTCATTATCTTTCTTTTTTAGTTAAATATTTTTATATGTGAAATAAACAAGGCATAATCTGAACCTTTGAGACAGGTTATTGTGAACACAAAGCATTATCCAAATATGATCCAGAAATTGTTACAAATCTTCATAACAAAAAATGTCAAAAATGATTCTGATCCATTTATTGCAGAAAGGTTATTATACAGCAGAATAAAACTGATTTCCCAGAATACTTTTTCCCAGTGTGAGAACAATTGCAATAATGAATGTTTTGTTACATGAGGTTACATTTTCACATATCATCAGCTCTTAACTTGATACACTTTCAGTCAAAAGTTTTACATCACCTCCATTTCTCCAGATGTTGTTAGTTTAATTCAACAATTCGACATTTTTTTCTACAACTGAAATCAAACATTGTTGGGATAGACAGCACTGTTGTAGACGTTCCCGCAAATGCGTTCCACTTGTAGGTTGCTTTCTCCTGCACAATCCTGGAGGTGCTTATGGAGTCAGTATCCTGCTGATAATGAAACCCTGAAAAGTCTTGATTTCCTCTGTTAATTAACTTTTCCAATTTATGTTTTAGAGGGTGTAGTGATTCAGTCTTTGTACAGATAGCATTTGTTGTTATAAGTCATCAACAAAAATTGGGACACCTGTAGAAATTGTTTGCCTCAATTTTCACTGCCTTCCACTGCTGCACAAAAAAGATGTAAGTTAACCCTATTACTTGAATCCATGAAAAAGGCCTGTTTTATATGACATTTACACATATTTTTGTATTTTGGTGTCTTTTTTTTCATTTTTCTGTTTACATCCTTGCTTTGTGCCATTTAAGGTTATTAACTGGACCTTAACTGCTTAAATGTCAATAAAAACTGGGAAAATGGGGGTGTTCTAAAACTTGAACAACAGTCTATGCGGAAAACAGGAACAGAATTAGTGGGAATACAATGTCACATTAGGAAAACCATACTATTTTATCGCTGCCTGCAGTCCACATATCAAAGTGTCCTTGGGCAACACACTGAACCCCAGAGTTGCCCACGATGGTGGCACATATGTATGCAGTGGCCCGGGGCCCTCTGCCCCAAACAAAATTTCATTGTACACATTATAATGACAATAAAGAGGATTCTTCTTCTTCTTCTTCTTCTATTTTGTCGAAAGGAATCCCCCTAGCACAGAAGTGTTTCTGATGAGCAGTTACTGGCCCCGCCAACCTGCGCAGTGTTTGTTGGTTCCTGCTGCTTTTCTTTTCTCTCTCTGCTCTCCACTCGCCCCAGACGGCCGCTCACCCCGAGTCCAGTTGTTTTTTCTTCCCATTGTAGCCAAATGCTTGTTCAAAGTAGATTTGTGGGGGTTTTCTCTATAATTCTGTCAAGTCTTGACCTCACTGTGTAAAATGCCCTGAGATTTTTTTGTGATTTGTTGCTATATAAATACATTGGATTTATATTGTTCACACTGCCAAGAGTATTGTTATTCTTAGGTTAGTACTTGTGAAACGTGGAGCCTGTTTATCTTGTTCCAGGTCACAGGAGGACTGGATGCTACCTCAGCGTGCCCTTGGGTGAGAGATGGTGTCAGGTTTCTGTCAGTCACTCCGCGGGGACAACACAGTTGCACTACTTATGAGTATCCAGTCCACAATTCCTACATGTCTCTGGACTATGGAGGAAACCTGAGCACCCAGAGGAACCAGAAGTCATCACAATGAGCCCACATGGACACCACAGAGGAAGAATCCAGCTGACAGGGTCAAGTTCAACGAGACCGTAAAGTGACCACTGAGCTAGTGGTCCGCCACTGTGTGAGGTCATTAGTATGTTTAATGACTTTGTTGTTACCTCATAGATTTTATTGTCCACTGTATAATATTCCCATAATACTCCAACAGGGATTATAACACTTTTAGTGTACCCTAATTGCGCCTTTACTGTCCTCTTTACTGCAGTTCTGTGTAGAGGCGCTGGATTGTATTGAATTTACTGATGAATTCTTAAGTGATTTTGGCTTTTATTGTTCTGAGTTTGTTAAAGTGCATCATGCTATTAGATCAAACGGTTTTGTCACAGATAGTAAACACTTAACAGTTATGTTTACTATTCATAAGGAGAAACGAGAATGAAGATGGCCACTTCGTCTCAAAAAGTGCCTTTAGATTTATGGCCAGTTTATACTTTAGTGCCTGGGTGACAAACTACACAACCTTAAAAAAGAAGAAAACGTGCTGTGAAGCAAAAATATTATCGAAAGTCATTACAGGTTAAGACACTCTTTTTGCAAATCCTATCAATTCTCTTGGGAAATCCTGGGCATATTCATGTTTATTATATTTATTTACTTAACACATACACCTGAAAAAAGTTTTCAGAATAATGCTAAGCTCCTAGAACAGTTTATTATTGTGTCTGTAACTGTTTTGCCAGTTTAAAGACAGTAAGATTTTTGCCATCTGTCTGACACTAGGTTTTACACAAATAGGTTATTTGGGCAACAAACATTTAATAGAGATTTCATAATTAATATTAATCAGACACCAGTATTTCAGATCATTTAACAACTTTGCCAGTTGTTCTAAAGTGGAATGTATTTTAGATCTTTTTCATTTCTGCGCACTGAAGGATGTTTCACCATTTAAGTGGTTAAAATTCAAATTACAACTCTTTAAGATTAAACTATATTAAATTTTACCTCATCATTTCTCACCAAAATGTAGTCAACTTACTGAAGAAGGGCTCTTTTGAATGCACCTTTTGTAAAGTCGAGGACCTTTGTTTCCTCCTTTCCTGCACTCTCTGCTCTCAACTATGTGAAATAAAGGAGAAATTTGTTTAGAACGACAGAAGGACAATTGAAACTGCATAAATGCAGAAAGAACTTGTGTGAAAGGATGTTTAAGTTCAAACACCTTGCCAGCAGTTATTAAAAAGAAATTCACTGATTAAAAACTGATCAGAATAAATCCACGAGCCCAACAAATTCACTTTTGTCAGTGTCTTGACACAGCAGCATTTATCACACTCATTTACAGACCAAAAAAGGTTTAAATAAAATGTATAAGCCTTTTTACAAATACCAAGGACATAAGGACATAACATGACATCTGGCCACACAATCAACAAGACATTTACAGCATATTTCAATCAAACCTTTTTCAATACTTGCAGAAATGATTTGGTCCATGATAATGATTTTCTGTAGTTTCACACAAACTGATAGAATTATCAGAGCTAGTGATAGAAACCTGGCAAACATCATGTCTTCTCCATCATGTTATTCAGCTGCTTCTTTTTGTTTCCCCTGTCTGTATTGGAGGCTGTAATTGAGTTCAGCTGCAACCTGCCTTCCTGCCAGATGATATGACATCTTCGGTAAATAGAAATTTTCCAAACTGCCAGGCTTGTTTGCAAATGAAAGGAACTAATCTACATTTTTCCTTCTTTTTTTAAACACAAAAAATATTTGATATACACCGTCTGTAATTACTGACACACAAACAAGCATGAATCCACAAACACTTGCTGGTGAAAAAGCAAGTAGCACACACACGCACACACACAAAACCTCTGTGTAGGTAACCACAGGCTTTTGGTACACCTTACTTCTTTTGATTAGCCGTCGGCACATTGATTACATTTCTCAGTTATTTTCTCTTGAATTCTGCCAGGTGTGAAACGGGTCCTCGCACCAAATCAATAGCACTATCTGGGTTATCACCAAATCTCCTCTTTCTCTCCATGTCTGCCCCTCTCTTCTTTTAAATCTTTTCAAACAGAGCATGAAAAAAGTAATCCTCAAACTCCAAGTGCAACATCACGGATTAAATTCAGCAGGGCGAACCCTGTTCGTAAAGAGAAAGTCAAGGTTATCTGCAGACCGTGCATCTGAAATTACCTCTGGAAGATTAAGAGACTGTGGATGATACTCCCTCACCTTTTTGGATGTGATAAGGAACTATCAGGCCCAGGAAAGTTGAGGAAGGTAACATAACGCCCTTAAGATAAAAACTGTTCTTCTTTTCAGGTCTCAGATGGCTGCCTCAGCTTTGTACTGTAGCTCTAACAACACACAGGTTTACCTCCATCTAGCAGTGCAAACTCAGACACCAATCTGGAAACAATACTGTGTCCCAGTTCTATAATACATACAAAACAGTTTTACAAGTTATAAAGTGATACATGTGTACCAATATGTGTATTTTCATTGTAGAAATCTGCTCCAAAAATTGTCCTAATGTGGGGAGATGCTGTCGCAGCCTCCTGTGACCCAGACTCATTGAACAGCACTGTCGTAGTTCCATTGGTCAGAACGCGAATCTAGACTGATGACAAACAAAAACAAGAAAAATGCCCCAAACAGCTTTTAGGTTCATCTCACTAAAACATTTTTCAGCAGTGCACAAAGAAGACGAGTCAGCACAGGGTTTTCTCTCAGAGCCTTTGCTAAAAATACCACACTGTGAAACAGGGCTCTGATTTCAGTGTCAGAATGCCTGAGTCCATTTCCTCAGTGAGATTGGTGGGCGTTGGTCTGGTTCCCAGGCTTTAGTCTAGTGAAGGCAGTAGGAGGATGCTCAAGTGATGGCGCCCTCTCTGCTCCATGAAACCCTCCTCCTCTGCTGACAGATGCAGACACAAAGACATGCAGGGAGGTTCCCAAGTGATGGAGACACTGCATAATGTATCACTTTATAAATTAATGTTCATATGTGGGGACTTCAATATAGATTTGTTAAATCCTAACAAGCACACAGGAACTGTGGAGTTTATTAACACAATATATGGATGCAGTTTATACCCAAAAATTACAAAACCAAGTAGAGTAACAACCCAGCATGCAACACTAATAGATAATATATTTACCAATGTTATTGACAGCAAAATGACAAGTGG